ACGTTTGCCTCTGGGATGTGAGGGATGTGACTTATGCCTCTGGATGTGATTGTTGAGTGGGTACCTGTTGGACGTGCCTTCTGGGGTACCCGACGTAACCTTTTTGTATCTAGCCAACCTGGCCTCTTTTGGTTTGGGGACTTTGACCCTGAGATTCAAAATTGGGGTCTGCATCGTGAAATGCCTTTCTTCCTAGGCTACCAGAGTGGCCCACGGCCACTTGCCCAACCGGGCCCAAAAAAAAGAAAAAAGAAAAAAGAAAATAAAAATTATTTTCTAACTTCAGTTTTTTATTTTAAAATTGGCAAAGAATTTCGATGTCATTTCGAGGCAAGAGTTGTTAAATCACCAGTACCTGGCCCAGCTATCGAACGCGGCGCTTCCCGTATACGCGCCGCGTCGGGAGGGGTACCCACCGGCCAACGACCAATAACCCCCAAATCACCGTGCCAAAACAAAACAAAAAAACAAAAAAAAAAACAACGTCGATGAAAAACGAAAACTGAAAACTGAAACGGGCGTGGCAGGGGGGGGGGTGCGGCGTCAGACACTCTGACGCTCTCTCTCTCTCTCTCTCTCACACACACACACACACACACACACACACACACACACACACACGCACACACACACACACACAAGGGCCATATGAGAATGAATCTTCCGCGATAAAGCGGAAGATTCATTCTCATATGCCCGTTGTGTGTGTGTGTGTGTGTGTGTGTGTGTGTGTGAGAGAGAGAGAGAGAACAGGTAACAGAATATCGCGGCTTCGCCCCCGCTCGGTACTTCCACCGAGAGGAGCAATATCGAATGAATCTCCCCCTACAACATGGAAATATACACCGCCACTTCCGATTTGTGTGTGTGTGTGTGTGTGTGTGTGTGAGAGAGAGAGAGAGAGAGGGGAATGCGGAGTGTCGGACTCCGAGTTTGGTGCGCCAAACTCGGAGTCCGACACTCCGCATTCCCCTCTCTCTCTCTCTCTCTCTCTCTCTCTC